CGGCGTGATGGGTGTGTGATCCAGACTATGGTGTGATAGGTGTGTGATCCAGACTATAGTGTGATGGGTTTGTGTGTGATCCAGACTACGGCGTGATGGGTGTGTGATCCAGACTACAGTGTGATAGGTGTGTGATCCAGACTATAGTGTGATGGGTTTGTGTGTGATCCAGACTACGGCATGATGGGTGTGTGATCCAGACTACGGCGTGATGGGTGTGTGATCCAGACTATAGTGTGATGGGTTTGTGTGTGATCCAGACTACGGCGTGATGGGTGTGTGTGTGATCCAGACTACGGCGTGATGGGTGTGTGTGTGATCCAGACTACGGCGTGATGGGTGTGTGTGTGATCCAGACTACGGCGTGATGGGTGTGTGATCCAGACTACGGTGTGATGGGTGTGTGTGTGATCCAGACTACGGCGTGATGGGTGTGTGATCCAGACTACGGTGTGATGGTGTGTGATCCAGACTATAGTGTGATGGGTTTGTGTGTGATCCAGACTACGGCGTGATGGGTGTGTGATCCAGACTATGGTGTGATGAGTTTGTGTGTGATCCAGACTACGGCATGATGGGTGTGTGATCCAGACTACGGCGTGATGGGTGTGTGATCCAGACTACGGCGTGATGGGTGTGTGATCCAGACTATGGCGTGATGGGTGTGTGATCTAGACTACAGTGTGATGGGTGTGTGTGTGATCCAGACTACAGCGTGATGGGTGTGTGTGTGATCCAGACTACGGCGTGATGGGTGTGTGATCCAGACTACGGCGTGATGGGTGTGTGATCCAGACTATAGTGTGATGGGTGTGTGTGTGATCCAGACTACGGCGTGATGGGTGTGTGATCCAGACTACGGCGTGATGGGTGTGTGTGTGATCCAGACTACGGCGTGATGGGTGTGTGATCCAGACTACGGTGTGATAGGTGTGTGATCCAGACTATAGTGTGATGGGTTTGTGTATGATCCAGACTACGGCGTGATGGGTGTGTGATCCAGACTACGGTGTGATAGGTGTGTGATCCAGACTATAGTGTGATGGGTTTGTGTGTGATCCAGACTACGGCGTGATGGGTGTGTGTGTGATCCAGACTACGGCGTGATGGGTGTGTGATCCAGACTACGGCGTGATGGGTGTGTGATCTAGACTATAGTGTGATGGGTGTGTGTGTGATCCAGACTACGGCGTGATGGGTGTGTGATCCAGACTACGGCGTGATGGGTGTGTGTGTGATCCAGACTACGGCGTGATGGGTGTGTGATCCAGACTACGGCGTGATGGGTGTATGATCTAGACTATAGTGTGATGGGTTTGTGTGTGATCCAGACTACGGCGTGATGGGTGTGTGTGTGATCCAGACTACGGCGTGATGGGTGTGTATGTGATCCAGACTATGGTGTGATGGGTGTGTGATGCAGACTATGGCGTGATGGGTGTGTGATCCAGACTACAGTGTGATGCGTATGGACTGGTTGTCAGAAGACCAGCAAGATGAGCAGCAAATGGAGAAGCCCGAGGGGGTATGCCCTGGCTGGGAGGCAGTGGCTGCCCCGCACCTGAGGCCTGTTGGGGGACTTGGGATACAAACATGACCCCGGCAGGGCCAGGGAACATGGTTTTGGAGCTGTCTGTGTAATTGCTACCATCTATGCCCAGAGAGTAACCTAGTGCTTTGCATGCATCTGTATTAGAGAGTTATCACACATGCCTAAGATGGACGACTTGCAGGACACTTCAAAGTGCACACACCTTTGTGGCTAGAAAGTGGAAATGGTGGCTAGGCACAGTGGCCCACGCCTGTAATCCCAGCACTTTGGGAGGCCAAGGCGGGCGGATCACCTGAGGTCAGGAGTTCAAGACCAGCCTGGCCAACATGGTGAAATCCCATCTCTACTAAAAATACAAGTAATTAGCCAGGTGTGGTGGCGTGTGCCTGTAATCCCAGCTACCCAGGAGGCAGAGGCAGGAGAATTGCTTGAACCTGGGAGGCGGAGGTTGCAGTGAGCTGAGATGGCGCCACTGAACTCCAGCCTGGTGACAAAGGGAGACTCCAACTCAAAAAGAAAGAAAAAGAAAGTGGCAGTGGGACAACGTGGCACCTGGCGAGGAGAAGCTCCGGGAAACCCCTGTCCACGTCTCTTCATTTCCTTCATTCTGCTTTGTTACTGTTGAAGTTTCCTTCCAAGGAGAGGGAGCTCCAGTGTTCTAACTGCGGGCGCCTCCCTCTGCCTCTGTTTTGATCTGATTGCTAAATTTGGGATGAAGAAACTGGCTGTGCAGCTCCTAGACTTTCTTTTTTTTGAGACAGGGTCCAGCTCTGTCACTCAAGACTGAGGCCAGGCGCGGTGGCTCAAGCCTGTAATCCCAGCACTTTGGGAGGCCGAGGCGGGTGGATCACGAGGTCGAGAGATCGAGACCATCCTGGTCAACATGGTGAAACCCCGTCTCTACTAAAAATACAAAAAAATTAGGTGGGCATGGTGGCGCGTGCCTGTAATCCCAGCTACTCAGGAGGCTGAGGCAGGAGAACTGCCTGAACCCAGGAGGCGGAGGTTGCGGTGAGCCGAGATCGCGCCATTGCACTCCAGCCTGGGTAACAAGGGTGAAACTCCGTCTCAAAAAAAAAAAAAAAAAAAAAAAAGACTGGAGTGCACTGGTGTGATCTCAGTTCACTGCAACCTCCGGCTCCTGGGCTCAAGTGATATTCCCACCTCGGCCTCCTCAGTAGCTGGGGCTCGTGTTAGCATGCCTGACTAAGCCTGGACTTTGTCCTCGTGGGAGGCGGATCACACAGGGGGAGGCCTGTTCGGGGGCAGGGCTGCCACCCTGGGGAACTTTGCCTGGGTCTAGGGTCCATGGATCAGGTGCGCTCAGCTCTCATAATGAGCAGCATCTTGGGACTTTGCCTTTATGGGCAATAAAGGTGTGATTTGGGCTCCCACCTAATATTTAAAAATTTCCCAATTTGTTGAGAGCCTGGGTGGTTTACTGGGCCCCTTCAGGAATTCCAGCGGACCTTATGGGGGAGGGAGGGCCCGGTGAGAGACACAGCTTCCCCTCCAGCCTGACTGTAACCTTGTACTGCCAGTAACTGTGTCAGGTGCACAGCTGGGAGGGCCCCACTGCCATCAGCTACACCTACATATGGTCACCTTGGTTGAACCAGGCACGCCTATCCCAGTATTATCGTGCCCTAAGGAAAATGGGAAGTAGCAATTGAGACGGTAATTGGTGAGGCACTAGCTTAGGGATTTCCATCAGGGTCCCAGAATTCTTGCTTTCTAGCAGTAGAGAGTGTGGTTATAGCTATGATCAGCAACTCAGCATACTTCAGTGGGTTTCCTGGATCGACTCCAAATACCTCATCCCAGCCTACTTTGTTCTACCAAGACAGCACCGGGCCCTGACCTCCTTAGCCCCTCTGAGTTCTGTATTTTTCACCTGTAGAATGAAGAGAACTGGCCGGGCGCGGTGGCTCATGCCTGTAATCCCAGCACTTTGGGAGGCTGAGGCGGGCAGATCACCTGAGGTCAGGAGTTCAAGACCAGCCTGGCCAACATGGTGAAACCCCATCACCACTAAAAATACAAAAATTAGCCGGGTGTGGTGGTGGTGTGTGCTTGTAATCCCAGCTACTCGGTAGGCTGAGGCAGGTGAATCACTTGAACCTGGGAGGTGGAGACTGCAGTGAGCTGAGATCGCACCACTGCACTCCAGTCTGGGTGACAGAGTGAGACAGCCTCTCAAAAAAAACCCAAAAACAAACACACACACACAAAACAACAAAGAGAATATGGTTTCTTATATACAGTTCTGAGCTGTGAGAATTAAGTGATAAAACTCAGTGAAACACTTAGCTCAGAATCTGAGATCTAGAAGATACTCAATCTGTCTTCATTAACTCATAAACTTTCCCAAAAGCACAGGTCTTAAATGACTTAATTTATTTAACTACAAAACTAATCAAACTAATTTGGAAGATAACATGGCAGAAGACCCAGAGAAAGCATTATAAAATCACTAAGAAATAAAGGTTCAGGCCAGGTGCGGTGGCTCATGCCTATAAGCCCAAGGCTTTGGGAGGCTGAGGTAGGAGGATGGCTTGAGGCCAGGAGTTTGAGACCAGCTTGATCAACATAGTGAGACCCCGTCTCTATAAAAAGTCAGCAGGCATGGTGGTGCCTTGGTGTCTTAGCTATTCGGTAGGCTGAGGTAGGAGGACTGCCTGAGCCCAGGAGTTCGAGGCCGCAGTGAGCTATGATCGTACCACTGCAATGTAACCTGGGTGGCAGAGCAAGCCCTTGTCTAAAAAAAAAAAACAAACAAAAAACATGTATACACACACACACATACATACACACAAACTAAGAATATATGTATGTATATGCACTAAACCACAGAAGTTTCACTCTTGAATCATGAATATCTGTTTTCTCTCTTATTAAATGATGTAACTGAGAGGTGATATTCCTTCTGGGTCATGGCAGATACCACCTGTTTAACTATGTGACAGTGACTAGAAGGGACATGGCCTTACATCTCTAGAGTTAAAACCTCAATAAAACCTAAGGAACCGCCAGGTGCTGTGGCTCCCAGCACTTTGGGAGGCCGAGGTGGGTGGATCACCTGAGGTCAGGAGTTCGAGACCAGCTTGACCAACACAGCGAAACCCCATCTCTACTAAAAATATAGGAATTAGCCGGGCATGGTGGCACATGCCTGTAATTCCAGCTACCTAGGAGGCTGAGGCAGGAGAATTGCTTAAACCCAGGCGGAAGAGGTTGCAGTGACCTAAGACTGTGCCATTGCACTCCAGCCTGGGCAACGAGATGGAAACTCCATCTCAAAAGAAAAAAAAAATACCTACAGGACCAATGACCCAAACAATTACTGCGCTCTCAGCCCCTGGAGCATTACCCCTGTGCGCCACAGCGGCTCAGGACAGATTGGCCCCTTCCCCTGGGCAACCGTTTGCTCCCTGAGACCTGGGCGTACCTGTAGTTGTGAAACCAGTTGATGACGGTGCTGGTTTTCAGGTTGAGCTGGGTGGCGAGGTCTTCGATGGTTTTTGGTGACGGGTATGGCTTTTGTTGATACGCTCGTTTCAGGGCCTCCTTCTCCTCAGGAGCCAGCACCACCCGGGGTTTCTTCAGCTGGTGCTGCGGCTGGGGGCTGGCGCTCTGGCTGTACTCGGTGCCAACGGAGGGTGGCTCACAGGGCTGAGTGTCACTGACTGAGCTGTGCCGCCGCTTCATGTAGGCTGGGGAGGGAGAGATGGCAGACTGAGGTCAGGCCCAGCTGGGACAGCAGCCCAAATCCCCAGTCCCCGCTAGCGGGACAGCATAGTGCCAGCTTGCAGGAGTTTGCATAGAGCATCTCAAAACACTAAGATGAGGCCGGGCGTGGTGGCTCATGCCTGTAATCCAAGCACTTTGGGAGGCCGAAGATCTCAAGACCTCAGATCTCTTGAGGTCAGGAGTTCAAGACCAGCCTGGCCAACATTAGTGAAACCCCATCTCTACTAAAAATACAAACATTAGCTAGGCGTGGTGGTGGATGCCTGTAATCCCAGCTGCTCGGGAGGCTGAGGGAGGAGAATTGCATGAACCCAGGAGGTGGAGGTTGCAATGAGCTGAGATCGTGCCACTGCACTCCATCCTGGGTGACAGAGCAAGGCTCCGTCTCAAACAAAACGAAAAACACAACACAAAGATGAGAGCCATTCTGTCACCAGCACACGCCCACAAAGGACCTGCTGTGACGGACTGTGAGGGCCTTATCTGTCCCTGCACCACTTAGCAGTTTAGTGCGGGACGCAGAGAAGTATCCAGAGAGATGTTCACGGCAGAGTGAAAAGTGGGTGGAGTAAGTGCAAGGCAGCGTGAGGATGCTGAGAAGAATTCCTCCATCAGGACTGGGGAGGGGCAGGGGAAGTTGCTCAGAAAAGACTTTTTTTTTTTTTTTTTTTTTTTAAAGACAGGGTTTCGCTATGTTGGTCAGGCTGGTCTTGAACTCCCGATCTCAGATGATCTGCCCAACTTGGCCTCCAAAGTGCTTGGATTACAGGCGTGAGCCACCACGCCCAGCCAGAGATGACATTTAAACTGTACCTTGAAGGACACTGCCAGGCGTGGTGGCTCAAGCCTGTAATCTCTGCACTTTGGGAAGCTGAGGTGGGAGGATCGCTTGAGCCTAGGAGCTGGAGACCAGTCTGGAGAACATAGCAAGACCCTGCCTTGTCAAAGTATTTAAAAATTAGCCCGGTGTGGTGGCGTGCACCTGTAGTCCCAGCTCCTCAGGTGGCTGAGGCGGGAGGCTGGAATAAGCCCAGAATGTGGAGGCTGCAACAGTGCACTATGTCTGCACCGCTGCCCTCCAGCCGGGGCAACGGAGTGAGACCCTGTCTCTAAAAAATGATAAGGGCCAGGTGCAGTGGCTCACACCTGTAATCCCAGCACTTCAGGCGGCCGAGGTGGGCGGATTACAAGACCATCCTGGCCAACATGGTGAAACCCTGTCTCTACTAAAAATACAAAAAAATTAGCCGGGCGTGGTGGTACATGCCTGTAATCCCAGCTACTTGGGAGGCTGTGGCTGGAGAATCGCTTGAACCCGGGAGGTGGAGGTTGCAGTGAGCTGAGATCGCACCACTGCACTCCAGCCTGGGCAACAAGAGCGAAACTCCAGCTCAAAACAAAACAACAACAACAAAAACCAACTTAGGCAAGGGAGTTCTTTAGCTAGGAAGCAACTGAGAAAGTAAATCTTCCCCACAGAAAACCAAAACAGCGGAGTCAGAGCTGCTGGATCTAGAGAAAGGGGTTGGATCGTCCATCGGTGGGGACTCCCTCCAGCTCCCTCCCAGGGGACAGATGACTGACCAAGGTCTGGTGGGAGCAGAGGCACCGTGGGATGGAGGAAGGGCTACCGGGCTGTGCCTGACAGGCTGGGCACCTGGTCCCCTGAAGGGGCTGAAGAAGGCCTGTCTAGGGAATAGCCCTTGTGGTCAGCACCCCCAGGAGTGAAGAGAAGGCCCTGGGACCGCAGCGGCTTTGGAGACCAGGGCACCTTTGGAAGGGTCTGGGTGGTGCAGAAACAGTAACTCATTTGTAACACAAGAGGGCGCCCTGAGCCCGTGCAGAGGGAAAGGGGAGCTGGGAAGCTCTGGAGACGTGTCTGGGGGGACTAAGGGCCTTTCCTACCAGCCCAGGGTGAGAAACACAGCAGGCAGTGGGGCTGTCAGGGCCTCCTCCCTCCTGAGGGCCGAGGGCCGCCTCCTGGCGAGTGCAGGAAGCTTCACGCTGCTTGGGCGAGAGGGGATTAACAGGAGACTCGCACGGTTATGTTGGGTTCATGACAGCATTCTCTCTACTTTTGTTTATGTTGGAAATTTCCCATAATAAGATGTTGAAAGGGCCAGGTGCAGTGGCTCACGCCTGTAATCCCAGTGCTTTGGGAGGTCAAGATGGGAGGATTGCTTGAGGCCAGGAGTTCAAGATCAGCCTGGGCAATATAGCAAGACCTTGTCCCTTTTTTTTTTTTTTTTTTTTTTTTTTTGAGACGGAGTTTCGCTCTTGTTACCCAGGCTGGAGTGCAATGGCGCGATCTCGGCTCACCGCAACCTCCGCCTCCTGGGTTCAGGCAATTCTCCTGCCTCAGCCTCCTGAGTAGCTGGGATTACAGGCACACGCCACCATGCCCAGCTAATTTTTTGTATTTTTAGTAGAGACGGGGTTTCACCATGTTGACCAGGATGGTCTTGATCTCTTGACCTCGTGATCCACCCGCCTCGGCCTCCCAAAGTGCTGGGATTACAGGCTTGAGCCACCGCACCCGGCCGACCTTGTCCCTTTAAAAAAAAAATGAAAAAAGAAAAATGGAAAGGAAGTTGGAAACTTTTGGGGGGCCAATGGGGCACCAGGCCTCTGCAGCTTACAGTGCTGCCTGCGCTACCTCAGAGCCTTAGACTACACGTCTGAGGGCAGGCCAGGGCCCGCCAAAGGGGCCCTGAATGGGGCAGAGGCCACCACCTGGGCAGGCTATCAGTGGGCAGCAGCAGTGCCCTGGGTTCCGGGAGGGCAGCTCACAGCAGAGAGGCTGCGGATGTATGTTTAAGATCACCTGCTTTGAAATCCACCAGCCCTGAGTTTGAATTCCTGCTCCCTACTCATAGCAGCTATTGAAATCTGCTAGGGCTGCACGAGGCCCCAAGTTTCATATTTATTTCCTGGATAAGGACATTTACATAGGACAAGAGTCGTGTGGATGGAGAGCAGTCTTAGTGCAGTGTCTGGCAAACAGGGCAGTTCTCAGAAAATAGAAGCCTCTTATTATGATAAAGGAATCCCCACAGGGTTCCTGAAAGAGGCACCAGACACTCTCCTTCTGCAGCCCTTTCCTGGGTTGGGTGAGAAAGGTGATGCTTGGCTGGAATTTCTGGGTAAATTAAGAACCGACAGCCCTGGGTTGCGTACCCACCCCTGGCTCAGACGTTGTGTGTGTGTGGGTTGGGGTGGGCAGAGCCCCTCAGGAGCCTGGGATGCCCAATCTTTATTTTTATTTTTTTGAGATGGAGTCTTGCTCTGCTGTCCAGGCTGGAGTACAGTGGCGTGATCTCGGCTGACTGCAACCTCCTCCTCCTGGGTTCAAGTGATTCTCCTGCCTCAGCCTCCCCAGTAGCTGGGATTACAGGAGTGCGCCATGATACCTGGCTGATTTTTGTTTTTTTCGGTAGAGGTGGGGTTTCACCATGTTGCCCAGGTCTCAAACTCTGGACCGCAAGTGATCCGCCCACCTCGGCCTCCCAAAGTGCTGAGACTACAGGCATGAGCCACTGCGCCCGGCTCCTGGGATGCCCACGCTTAGTTAAGATTCTCTGCGTTAGCTGATGAGGGAGGGTGGACACCACCTCTATTTTTTTGAGATGGAATTTCGCTCTTGTTGCCCAGGCTGGGGTGTAACGGCAGGATCTCAGCTCACTACAACCTCTGCCTCCCAGGTTCAAGTGATTTTCCTGCCTCAACCTCCCAAGTAGCTGAGATTACAGGCAGCTACTCAGCTAGTTTTGTATTTTTAGTAGAGACAGGGTTTTTCTATGCGGGTCAGCCTGGTCTTGAACTCCTGACCTCAGATGATCTACCTATCTTGGCCTCCTAAGGTGCTGAGATTACAAGGGTGAGCCATCGAGCCTAGCTTGTTATGGTCAGACCAGCAGCAGCTGGTTCCTGGTCTCTGCCTCTGAGGGATGCATTCAGCTGCCCAGTCAGCTCCCAGCACTACGGGTGACCTGAGGACTGAGGGTTCCCGAGGGGCGGACTCACTGGTGAGGACCAGTTTTTAGGAACTGCAAACCACGAGGCACAGCACACCTGGCTTCGGGCACTTTTCCTATGCTGAACCCTACAGGCTGCAAGGAGAATGCGAATCCACATTCGACATGACGTGTGGGTGCACGTGGGGTTACCCCTTTAGGGAGGCTGGATCCCCAGAGGCTGCAAAATAACAGCGAGAGAGAGATCTGTGTGGCAGGAGTTCGCTCTGTCACCTTCCACGCCGGGTGACCTTGGTGGAGGCACTGGATCTCTCTGAACCTCTGTTTCTTGATCTACAAAATGCAGGTTTTTTTTTTTTTTTTTTTGAGATAGGGTCTTGCTCTGTCATCCAGGCTGGAATGCGGTGGCTCAATCTCTGCTCACCACCTCCGGGATTCAAATGATTCTCGTGCCTCAGCCTCCCAAGTAGCTGGGATTACAGAGGCACGTGCCACCACACCTGGGTAATTATTATTATTATTTTTTAGTAGAGACAGGGTTTTGCCACGTTGGCCAGGCTGGTTTTGAACTCCTGACCTCAAGAGATCTGCCTGCCTCAGCCCCCCAAAGTGCTGAGATTACAGGCATGAGCCACCATGCCCGGCCTACAAAATGCATTTCTTAATTCTCTCTCTGATAACAAAGGAAAGCCTCCAGCCACACGGTACATGCACAGTAAACGCTGTAATAGCCGGATCAGCCACCCACATAACACAAAAACCAAACACAGCACCCCCAGCGCTGTTCCGATCTCCTTGGTTAAAAGTGCTCCCGGTGCTAAAAAAAAGTCTTTAGATTCAGGCTGCTGGAGACAGAAAGTTACAAATATTTCTAGCCCTCTTAGATACTCATTAGCTGATGACCATCAAAACATATTTTTTATTGCCCTGTCCTCTGGTGCCCTGGTCATGGCTCAGTCCCTCCATCAGTTGTGTGTGAAGGATTTGAGAGAAACAGCCTGTTTGGGAATGAGGACGCAGCCGGCCAGGGCGGGGCTGGGCGACTTACCTTTCTTCTCCATCCGTTTCATGTCCATCAGCTTCTCCACATTGTTGGGGTCGTTCAGCCACAGCTGCATCCGGACGAAGGGCTCCCGTCCTTTCAGACTGAGCTTATGCCAGGGTTTTGGGCGGGCAAGGAGGTCAGAGACAGAGCCTTGGGTGAGCCCTAAGATGGTTTCCCCAAACAAGCGCTGGCCTACAGAGAAAACAGAAGCGAGACAGGTATCATCACCGAGAGCCAGGGATCCGAGGGGACAAGTATGTGTCACGGTTAAAATCGGACACAGGACCTGAAAGGCCCAGGGTTGGGCTGGCGATGTCCTAGCTTACAGCAAGTGCGTGGTAGAAATATATCTTCCACCAGACTTTTAGTACACTCCGTTGGCGAGGGAGCTGGCATTGCCCCTGCATTCTTTGTACACATAACTGATGATGTTTCTCTCTTTTTCGAGATGGAGTCTTGCTCTGTCACCCAGGCTGGAGTGCAGTGGCGCGATCTCGGCTCACTGTAACCTCCGCCTGCCAGGTTCAAGCGATTCTTCTGCTTCAGCCTCCTGAGCAGCTGGGACTACAGGCACGTGCCACCACGTCTGGCTAATTTTTGTATTTTTAGTAGAGACAGGGTTTTGCCATGTTGGCCAGTCTGGTCTCGAACTCTTGACCTCAGGTGATCCGCCTGCCTTGGTCTCCCAAAGTGCTGGGATTACAGGTGTGAGCCACCATGCCCAAACAATGATGTTTCTCTTAAGCCTTCAGCTGGGTGCTGGGGCCAGAAGGGCCTCTGGGAGGCTAGGGCAGGAAGATCACCTGAGTTCAGGGGTTTGAGACCAGCCTGGGCAACACAGCAAGACTCAGTCTCTACACACAAAAAAATTAGCCAGGCGTGGTGATACATACCTATAGTTCCAGCTACTTGGGAAGCTGAGATGGGAAGATTGCTCAAGCCCAGGAAGTTGAGGCCACAGTGAGCTATGATCACACTACTGTACTCCAGCCTGGGCAACAGAGAGAGACCGTGTCTCAAAAAAAGAAAGAAAGAAAGAAAGAAAGAAAAAGCCTTCAGGCTTTGTATGTACTGAGGTCACGCTACCACCTGTGGCATTTCTCAGAGGCAGTGAAATCCCTAAGCCAGAGCTCAGGACGTCACACAGCAAATAGGAGACCTCTCTCGGACAATCTCAAATCAGAGGGCAGCCTGCGTCTCCTTCCACAATTAGCAAGGTTATCAGGTCTCGCTGAGAAAACAGGGCACACAACCCACAATCACAGCAGGACAGAGGAGAGAGAGCTGCCCAGCTCTGCTTTGCTGAGAGGCAGGCCGATTCCAATTCCAAGGTCGGCTTTTGCAGCGTAGGCTGCCTTTGCTAAATAAAGTAGCTGGAAGAGGATCAAAACCCCTTCCCAAATACCGTTTCTTCTCCCAGGCAGGGGTAGGTAGCCCACTTCACAGGCTGCTCAGAGGGCATTTCGCTACGGAGAGCACAGCCGCATTGAATTGGCAATGCTTGTTGGGAGCTCAGAAAGAAAGGCTCACTCCTCTGAGGGCCATTCCGCTGCCGGTTTAAGAGGGCCACCGCTTGTAAAGGTACAAATTGGGATCAATGAGAACCGGGATGGCCTGATGGGAGTACTTGAATGAACAGGACTTATTAGGTGGAAGTGGAGATTGGGATCAGAGGGGCCAGCGTTTAACCCCATAAAGCGTACAGATCAGAGCACCTCTCTCGGTCCGGGGCAGGGAGACGGCAGAGGGCTGGCTAGTTCTCTCTGCGGCTCACATCCTGTGAAACAGAAACGCCTCACACCAGCTTCTAAGAAGGGGCCTCCAGGTAAAAGATTACTGCCTGGAAAACTCTGAAGTTGAGAAATTAATTTCTTATTAGTGTGTGTGTGTGTGTGTTTTTTTCTCTAAAGAAACAGGGTCTCGCTATATTGCCCAGGTTGGACTCGAACTCCTGGCCTCAAGCAATCGTTCCACCTCAGCATCCTGAGTAGCTGGGATTACAGGTACACACCACCATGCCTGGCTTGGTCATTTAAAACTCAAAGATAAATTTACAGATTTTGTAAATCTGTGGTTTCTCTGCGTTTCAAACTCTTTTGCCTATAAATGTCCCAAGTCTTTACGATTTTTTTTTTCCGTTGTTATAAGTAAATTTTGTTTAATGCTAACATGGCAAACGAATCTATTTTCATTCCAAGGAGCTTGCTGTCTTCAGGAAAGCAGTAAATAAGAATCGCCAGTTACTTTTTGCTTCGGCCTCCCAGTTGAATGGGGAAGAAAAAAACCCAGATGATTATTCCTGGAAGATTATCTGTATTACTCTTAGGACTATCACTCTTAGTCCTAGCCATGACTTTTAATTTTAATTGCTTTTGGGCTACAGACCCCTTTGGGAACCTGAAGAAAGCTACAGACCCTCACCCAGTAAAACCAACATCAATGATGGTGGCATGGATGATAAAGCCAGGCATCAGATCTCAACATTCGCAATCTTGTAACTGTGATCTTGCCACTTAGCAGTGTTTACAACGAGACTTTCCCCCGTCATCCCAGCACTTTTGGGAGGCTGAGGCGGGCAGATCACGAGGTCAGGAGATTGAGACCATCCTGGCTAACATGGTGAAACCCTGTCTCTACTAAAAATACAAAAAAATTAGCCAGATGTGGTGGCAGGTGCCTGTAGTCCCAGCTACTCGGGAGGCTGAGGCAGGAGAATCGCTTGAACCCTGGGAGGCGGAGGTTGCAGGGAGCCGAGATCACGCCACTGCACTCCAGCCTGGCAACAGAGCGAGACTGTCTCAAAAAATAAATAAATAAAAAATAAAATAAATAAATAAAAATAAAAATAAGACGGATAGAAAGGTGTGTTTCCAACCTCCATGTGCCTAATCCAGGGAACCCTGTCTGGTCAACGCCAAACTGCAGGAGCACGGTGGTTGAAAATGACGAGGCAGGCTTGGCTGGTGCGGTGGCTCACGCCTGTGATCCCAGCACTTTGGGAGGCCAAGGTGGGTGGATCACCTGAGGCCAGCTGGAGAATAGCCTTGGCAGCAGGGTGAAACTCCATCTCTACTAAAAATACAAAAATTAGCTGGGTGTGGTGGCACGCACCTGTAATCCCAGCTACTCGGGAGACTGAGGCAGGAGAATGGCCTGAACCCAGGAGGCGGAGACTGTAGTGAGCCAAGATCGTGACACTGTACTCCAGCCTAGCGACAGAGTGAGACACTGTCTTAAAGAAAGAAAGAAAAAAAAGGGCCAGGTGCCTGGCTCATGCCACACCTGTAATCCCAGCACTTTGGGAGGCTGAGGTGGGTGGATCACCTGAGGTCAGGAGTTCAAGACCAGCCTGGCCAACATGGTGAAACCCTGTCTTGACTAAAAATACAAAAGATAGCTGGGCGTGGTGGCAGGCGCCTGTAATTCCAGCTACTGGGGAGGCTGAGGCAGGAGAATCGCCTGAACCTGGGAGGCAGAGGTTGCAGTGAGCCAAGATCGTGCCACTGCGCTCCAGCCAATGATGAAACACCGTAATATTCTTACATAATAGCAGCTGGTGAGTGGTGACACAGACCACAGAGACTCACCCCGGCCAAGCTCCTGGAGGGCTGGAGCACATGCCTGGCTGAGGCCAGGTCTGACACATGGTGGGACAGCAGGGTGACAGACTGAGTTTCCCAGGGCTGCCTGCCTTGGTGGTGGGCTGTGAAATGAAGATGGCTTCCCTAGGCAGCAGGAACAGCCAAGATAAAATAAAAATGACTATGACGACTGGCCAGAGCTGGTGTTAGAATTGCTACTACTCACAGCCCCCAGGCAGGCGTGGGAATTCCAGTTCTGTGGAGGGGATCTGAGGATGGGGGCTGCCTGGCCAGCATCGTGGACTCAGGGAGCGGCGTGAGATCCAGACCCGGCCCGTCAGACCTTCCACTAAGCTGTCCTGGTGCTGCTGGGTGGATGCTGCCCGGCTCTAGAGCCCACTGAGGCTGCCGGGCTCCACTGGGTGCCCCCCTCTCTTTTTTTGAGACAGAGTCTCACTGTGTTGCCCAGGCTGAAGTATATAGTGGCATGATCACAGCTCACTGCAGCTTAAAACTACAGGGCTCAAGTGATTCTCCTGCCTCAGGCCTGTGGGCACACACCATCACACCTGGCTAATTTTTGTAGAGACAGGGTTTCGCCATGCTGCCCAGGGTGGTTTCGCACTACTTGCTGGATTCAAGTGCTCCTCTTGCTGTGGCCTCCCAATGTGCTGAGATTACAGGCATGTGCCACCATGCCCGGCCTAGTTTTTAAATTTATTATAGAGAAGCGTGTCTTGCTATGTTGCCCAGGCTGGTCTTGAACTCTTGGGCTCAAGTGATCCTCCCACCTTAGGCTCCTGAGTAGCTGGGACTACAGGTGCACATCAACATGTCCAGCTCATTTTAAAAGTTTTTTTTGAGAGATAGGGTCTTGCTCTGTTGCCCAGGCTGGTCTCAGACTGTGGCCTCAAGAATCTGGCCTTACTCAGACTGTCTCTATTGAGATACATCCAAGCCGGGCACGACGGGCTCATGCCTGTGATTCCAACAATTTGGGAGGCCTAGGTGGGCAGATTGCTTGAGGCCAGGAGTTCGAAACCAGCCTGGCCAACATGGCAAACCCTGTCTCTACTAACAATACAAAAAAATTAGCCAGGCGTGGTGGCAGGCACCTGTAATGCCGGCTAGCTACTCAGGAGGCTGAGGCACGAGAATCGCTTGAGCCTGGGAGGCGGAGGTTGTAGTGAGCTGAGATTGTGCCGTTGCACTCCAGCCTGGGCAACAGAGCAAGATCTATTAAAAAAAAAAAAAAAAAAGAAAGAAAGAAAGAAAGAGAGTCTGAGTGGATCTTCCTGAGTCTACTCTGACCCTGTGTCTTCCTGAGTCCACTCTGACCCTGTGCTCATCTTCTAAGGTTCCCGTGGGGGTGCAGAGTGGGGAGGAGGTGGGGACCGACCTGCAGAACTCAACGCTACACACAACTACAGGGCGTTTCATGTTCTTAGCAGGCGCCTACACAAGTTGAGACTCTGTGGCTGGCTCAGCCTGGGGCCCGCCCCACCCTTCACCCGCTCTGCGAACTCCCTGCCGCCCCCCGACTCGGCAGCCGAGAGAACCTACCGAGGTTGTTGTCCGTCAGCACCTCCTTCACCCGCTTGGTTATGCCGTAGGTGTCCAGCTCTGGGGACATGGCTACCAGTTCTTGGATGCTGAGGGCCGAGTGTCCGGAGAGAGGCAGCGGGGTTGCGGGCTGGGAGTCGGATGCTGGCGGGTCACTGGGCTCCGGGGGCTTGCTATCCTTGTTGGCCTCTATGGGGGGACAGGGCTGCTGGACCAGCTCGGTCAGGCTCTTCACCGACTCGCTGGAACTCATCGGGGACTCGGGGGCGGGGCTGCAGCTGGCTGAGGTCTTTGGAGTGCTTTCTGTAATTAAAGCACAGGAGAAACCGCGCCTGAAAATAGCTGTCTTTCACCGCGAACATCCACGGCCCTTATCTAGGAAATACTAATTAAACGCTCTGTAGGCGAAGCCGACACGAGGGTTTTCTGTGGGTCTTCGTGAATGGTTTCCTATTTTTTTGACTGAGAGTCACCTCTAATCTTCTGTATGAAAAAATAAAAATAACAGCACTGGAAGGAAAACGAAGGCTTTAAAAGAGAGGCTTTGGAAGGCTTGGCATAAGGGGTATTCTGCTAAAAAACTATTCATCATGTTATCACTGTCACGGTTTCTTCTAATGAAACCCCAATCATTGGGCAATTCAGAAGCACTCTGGCTAGGTCCTAACTCGTGCAGTTATCCTGTGCATATTTTCCAGAACAAACAGCATAGACAGATCGTTTTAAATAATGTGTCGTCACCACAGTTATGAAGATCCTTAAGAGGAAACATGGCTGTGTGCGGTGGCTCACGCCTGTAATCTCTGGGAGGCTGAGGCAGGTGGACCACCTGAGGTCAGGAGTTTGAGACCAGCCTGGTCAACATGGTGAAACTATGTTATTTCTACTAAAAATACAAAAATTAGCCAGGCGTGGTGGCGGGTGCCTGTAATCCCAACTACTAAGGAGGCTGAGGCAGGAGAATCACTTGAACCCCGGAGATGGAAGAGGCAGTGGGCCGAGATTACGCCACTACACTCCAGCCTGGGTGACAAAGAGTGACACTCCATCTCGAAAGAGAAAAAAAAAAATGAGGAAACCTATGACCGTAGCTTTTGGTCCCCCAGCACTGTGGGGCTCAGGACCTAGGGTGGTTTATTTCTATTTTTTTACAGAGGGGGTCTTGCTCTGTGGGCCAGGCTGGAGTGCAGTGGTGCAACCACAGCTCACTGCAGCCTCGACCTCCTGGGCTCAAGCAATCTTCCCGCCTTGGCCTCCTGAGGAGCTGGGACCAAAGGTGCACGCCACCATGCCCAGCGGTTTTTTTGTTGTGAAGACTAGAGAACTCGACAGCACCCAACTCTAGAGGCGAGGAGAGGCGGAACGACCACCCTGAAGCCGCCGCTCTTACATTTACAGTTCTACATCAAACCTCAGGACTTGCTCTGAAAACCAAGTTCTGTGCTGGTATCAGGCACGCCGTAACTGATGCCCGAAGTGACTGCGCTGGTGTGGACGAGCCAGCGTCTACATTTTGCTCTGTCTTGCTGTCATTGCTGTAAGTGCCCAGGGGGAAATACCAGCTGGGCTGTGTTGATGAGTGGTCCCTCTGGCCTATCATCTTATAGCAGCCCATAAAACCTGATAAAAGAGGCTGAATTCCAGTTCTGGGATGTCTGGGATAAAGACTTTGGCCATTCCCTAATTTCTGCAGATAGAAACTGTCCAGGAGGAAAAGAGGCTTCGTGCTGACGTCCTTCCTGCACGCCAGAATCTGCCTCTGGTCCAGCTCAGTGTCTTGGTACGATCCCTCTCCCCATGCCCACTAAGGTAGACACAGGGTAAGACCCCACAGTGCCAGGTAAGAGGGCTCAGGCCATGCTCTCTGCTCCCAGGGTCTTTTAAAAAACTGTTTTGTAGAGATGGGGTCTTGCTATGTTGCCCTGGCTGATTCGAAATCCTGTGCTCAAGCGATCCTCCCACCGCAGCCTCCGAGGTAGCGGGGACTACAAGGCATGCACCACTACACCTGTCTAGTTTTTTATTTTGTAGAGATGAGATCTTGCTATGTTGCCCAGGCTGAACTCCCGGCCTCAAGTGATCCTCCCTTCTTGACCTCCCAAAGTGCTGGGATGACAGGCATGAGCCACTCTGCCTGGCCAAGAGGATCTTACGCTTGCTCCTTCTCCCTCGGGCCCTAGAAGGTCACTCAGTCACTATCAGCGCCAGAGTAGATACCCGAAAATACTTGTTACCCGGCTGAAAAGAAAATGTAGCACACAGTAGCTACTCAACGTTAATTTACCATTTAACTCGAGAGTCCTTTTCTGGACATACTATGTCCAGGATATACTAAAGCTGCCGTAAATACATTCCAAATACAAGGAGTATTTTGTATTCATATCTAGAAAGAGCAAAACCCCAAATAAAACAACTGCAACTGAAGCGATCAGCCTGTGTATCATCCTGAACCCGCATCAACTTCCACCATTGCATAAAGCTGTGTCCTTGACCTGGGAAATCGGGTTATAAACAGAAAAACACACGCCGAACTGGCTTTTGAAAGATGTAGAAGAGACAGGCGGAAGAGGCAGAAATGGTCCATATAAATCTTTAGGGCAACGTGAATCTTACAAATCAGGTTTCTTTTCCCTGCTCAACCCCCCTGGGTCACCAGAGAACTGGATATAAAACCCCGCAAATGTTATTTTTGTGTCTGAAGCCGGCGGAGGAATTGTACTGTAAGGGTGGCGTGATTCAGCCACGCGAAGGACCGGCCTGGCAGATCATCCGTCTTGCTCACCGGATACTGTCAAGGATGGCATGAATTCCCCAAATGATAAACAGATTTCTTTTCAGGTTTTGTGTCCTTTAACCCACAGCAAGGTCAGCACCACGGCTGCCTGGCTAATAAAGCGCGTGTGGCACCTCCCCGTTTTCTTCTGGGGGCTGGCGGAGGCAGAGCTCGCCGTGAAACTCACAGGCTGTGCTGTGCTTTCTTCCAGGGACTCCCTGTGAGCCGGTGGCATGGATTTCTGCCATCACGGACCCCCAGGGGAACTAAACAGGGGCGGCTCACTAGTGTTACAGGTATTTCTCTGTGCTCCGGGATGCAACTACAGACAAAGGCAGGACCCCTGAGATCAAAGCCCTTTCCGAGCTCTGAAAGGTCCAGGCGTGTGAAAGTGTCACGTGGCAGCTGGTTGCTGGAGGTGGCTTGTATCTGTTTCTCTATTCTGAGTCTGAATCTAAAATGCAGAAGACCTTTGGGAGGCCGAGGTGGTCAGATCATTTGGAGGCCAGGAGTTTGAGACCAGCCTGGCCAACATAGTGAAACCCCATTTCTACTAAAAATACAAAAACTAGCCAGGTGTGGTGGTAGGTGCCTGTAATTCTAGCTACTGGGAAGGCTCAGAACATCACGTTGGGAAGAAAATCATTCTTTTTTTTTTTTTGAGATGGAGTCTTGCTCTGTCACCCAGGGTGGAGTGCAGTGGCACGATCTTGGCTTACTGCAACCTCCGCATCCTGAGTTCAAGTAATTCTCCTGCCTCAGCCTTCCAAGTAGCTGGGATTACAGGCATCTGCCACCATGGCTGGCTAATTTTTGTACTTTTAGTAGAGAAGGAGTTTCACCATGTTGGCCAGGCTGGTCTTGAACTCCTGACCTCAGGTGACCCACCTTCCTTGGCTTCCCAAAGTGCTGGGATTACAGGCATGAGCCATCACACCAAATCCTTTCTTTTTTTAATTATTATTTTTAATTGCATGGAGTGGAACAAAGCTTGCTCTTTCAGAGAATACTGCTTTAATCACAGGGCTCCATGTGCTAATTTCTGGAAAAGAAGAAGTAATGTTTCTTTTCTATTGACCATATTTTGGACAGTGCACAGAGGGTCCCCTCACCCTGGCCACCCCAACAGCGTGAGCCACTGCACCTGGTCAAATGTGTTTGTTTCTATAAAGACCTATAGCCAACATAAATCTCATGACCAAATGCTATTTCTCCCACAATGCCTGGCACATGGCAGACACGTGGGTGACAGGCTCAGAAGGCCACATCCCGTACGATGCGTTTATCTTTTTAAAGACATTCAACATTTTTTTAAACTTTAAAAAAGAGACAGGGTCTTGCTATGTTGCCCAGGCTGGTCCTTGAACTCCTGGCCTCAAGTGATCTTCTCACCCTGGCCTCCCAAAGTGCTGGGATTACAGGTGTGAGCCACCGTGCCCAGCCACTTGCCACATTTTACAAAGGTAAGATACAGTGTTCCAGCTGGGCGCGGTGGCTCACGCCTGTAATCCCAGCACTTCGGGAGACTGAGGCGGGCAGATCAGCGGAGGCCAGGAGTTTGAGACCAGCCTGGTCAACATGGCGAAAACCCATCTCTACTAAAAATACAAAAATTAGCCAAGCGTGGTGGCGCGTGCCTGTAGTCCCAGCTACTCCAGAGGCTGAGGCAGAAGAATCGCTTGAACCTGGGAGGTGGAGGTTGCAGTGAGCTGAGATCGTGCCACTGTACTCCAGTGTGGGCAACAGAGTGAGACTGTCTCAAAAAAAAAAAAAAAAGAAAAATGGTTTCCCGAGACACACAGCCAGGAGCTGGGGGGATGGGCCATATTCTAAACAGCCCCTGTACACCTGGTGGGGCCGGCACCCTGCACCCAAGGGTGTGTTAGTGACGGAGTGACTGTGCTGCCTGCCTTCCCGGGCACAGCTTGTCTACAACCCACATATCGACATGCGTGCATCTCCAACACTTAACGACGAGTCACAAAAAGCTCATCTACTCATGCGATTGTGGAAGGGAACCAAAGCACATTTCATACCAGGCGTGAATGGAACATCCAGCCGAGGGCGTCTACATGTGGCTTCATTCAATGGTCCTAACGGCCTTGGGGTGGAAATTCACACCCTACATCCCAGGTGAGAAAACTGAGGCTCAGACAGGCAACCTGACTTCGTTAAAAGTCACACAGAGGGTCGGAACCAGATCAGGAGTTGAAAACCTCGATGTTTCTACCCATCCTGCTGTCTGCCAATCCCACGTGATTCTGAATTGCAGCCTACCATCATTCCTGCGTTATTTCCCTCTCACTTTATTTTTTTTTTGAGACAGGGTCTCGCTCTGTTGCCCCAGCTGGAGCGCAGTGGTATGATCATGGCTCACTGCAGCCTTGACCTTCTGGGCTTCAGAGATCCTCCCACCTTACCCTCCTTGTATGACGGCAAGTAGCTGGGACCACAGGCGTGTGCTACCATGCTGGCTAATTTTTGTATTTTATGTAGAGAGATGGGGTCTTGCTATGTTGCCCAGACTGGT